TACCATATGCCCGTTGGCAGCTACATATCACCGTGCGATGTGGCTCACCCTGACTCTCATCCCCCCATTTGGTTTCTCTACAAAACCCTTTCCAACCCATACCCTCCCTGCCAAAAAGCAGAACAGTGGGCCCTCAACTGGCACTTTGACAAGGCCACCGGGACACCCTTCAGCAACCCCTTGTTCGCTTATGCGTTCAAGCTCTCCTTCAAGAGGGGCGGGGCGGTGTTCACCAAGTTCAAGAGCCGCATGGTGGCATGGGGCCTGTTTTCGGTAAGGATGTAGATATGTGTTTGTACCCCCATGCCTCATCCCCTTAACCCCTTGCCTGTACTTCAGCTAAAACCCTGGTCGATTAGGCCTTTGCAGTTACGTAGATAGTGACGACTGCATCACCGCTTTCAGTTGCCTCATTTACCCGTAACCTACCCTCCTCATAAACCATCCACCCAACCCTACACCACATTGCAGATCGAATGGCCCCTTCTGCAGGATAAGCGTCGCAAGCGAATCAGTAGCCAGCCGGAGCAGAACAGGCCAGACTACCAGGAGTGGTGCGAAAAGGTCAAACAGATGATCCATTTTGCTGTCGTGGAGCGGAGGATCCCCCACGATCCGGCTATGGGTGCGTTCGTCTTTCCGAACAAGTTCCTCATCGACGACGGCGACCTTGGAGATGTCGTCCTTGCCCACCGGGCGCTTTCAAGGCCCGCCAGTGCGTAGGCTATTTGACCTGGTGCTAAGACTGCTTGTTGCTAGAATGCTAAAGAATGGTTCTTGTAAACCGCAATAATAAATGCAATTTTGAAATCCTCAATATCCAAAATGAACAAAAACAGAATTTAGTTCTGAATAATTTGGTCACGAATTTGCAACAAAACGGATTGCGCCCGAATGTCATCCGGAAAAGCTCGCGTGCCAAATTGGAACTTGAACCGAGCCAAACCTTGTCGCAAGATGTGTCTCGGAGCTCCTATCAAATGACTCCAACCGTCGGTCCAAATTGGCTCCGGATTTTTTTACGCGAAGACAATCGAAATCAAAATTCGTCCAAACTTGGCATAGGGTTTTTGTGATGCAAGAGGAGTGTGCAGAGAGGAGCTTCACCACATGGGCAGCAGACTGTAACCCGCGAGAAGAGAGTGGTAGCAGCACCTTCAAGGCTGAAGTATAGTCATTTGGGAGGACCCAAGCAAGGTGCCATGGCGGTTCAGGTGGATGAGGGAGAGGATGAGGAGATGGCCTTCTGTTTCTTCACACCCTTGCCTGGAGAACCAGCCACAGTGGAGGAGGCACTCAGTGGACCCCAGAAGGAGGAGTGGAAGGCTGCCATGGATGCGGAGTTCAACAGTCTCACAGAGAATGGGACTTGGGAGCTTGTTGAGTTACCCGAGGGGCGACGGCCGATCAGCAACAAGTGGGTCTTCAAGGTGAAGAGTGGAGCTGATGGTGCGTTGGAGCGGTTCAAGAGCCGTTTGGTTGCCAAGGGGTTTCAGCAGAAAAAGAAGGTTGACTTTGGGGAGATCTTCGCTCCCGTTGCCTAGCCAGTGAGACTGAGGACTTTGATGGCTGGCGCAGCTGTGAAGGGATGGCATGTGAAGCTGATGGATATCACCACTGCATTCCTTAATGGAATACTACTGGAGGATATCTACATGGCACAGCCCGATGGCTACAAGGATGGGAGCAGCCGGGTGTGCAAGCTCAAGAAGGCAATCTATGGCCTTAAGCAAGCACCTAGGTGTTGGTACGAGAAGGTAGAGGAGGTGCTGCTGGGTGGAGGCTTCAAGACGTCCCAGGCGGATCACAACTTGTTTCTGCTTGGAGAGGGGGAGCAGTTGCTCTTGCTGCTGGTGTATGTCGACGACATACTGCTGTTCTCGCCTTCCATGGAGCAGGTTGAGAGGACACAGAAGCTGCTGATGGACAACTTCAAGTGCAAGATGCTGGGGGATGTCCACTACTACTTGGGGCTGCAGATTGAGAGGGATGTTGAGAGGAGGTGGCTGAAGGTGCATCAGACACACTACATCTCTGGTGTCATGGAATGCTATGGTGTGACTGGGGGTCGCACTGTGATGACACCGTTCCCTGCGGGCTTCAAACTAAAGAAGGCAGCTGATGAGGATGATGTACTCGAGGATGAGCAGCAGAATGAGTACCAGTCACTCATTGGGAGTGTGATGTGTGCTGCAGTGCATACGCGACCTGATGCTTCATTCGGAGAGGGGCAGCTAGCCAGAGTTGTGCAGCGGCCCACTGAGGAGCAGTTGGAGGTGGCAAAGCGCTTGGTGCGTTACCTCGGATCAACGGCATCTGCTAGTGTTCAGTTTTCAGCTGGCGGCCAGCTGAAACAGATTGGAGCAGATGGAGTCACGCCTCGAACCTTCAAGTTGTCGTGCTTCACCGAGGCCACATGGGCCTCAGAGGATGAGGATCAGTCATCAGTTGGCGGCTTTGTGTGCATGGTCGGAGGTGGGCCAGTGAGCTAGAGGTCCAAGAAGCAGAGTGAGATTGCTCAGTCTTCCGGAGAGGCAGCGTACATGGCGATGTACCATGCCATCAAGGAGGTCGTGCTCTTGAGGAAGCTGCTGGAGGACATGGGAGCTGAACAGGAGGGACCTACACCGCTTTTCTCCGACAGTGAGGTTGCTATTGGCATGGCCAATAATCCTATCCTGAATGGGCTGAACAAGCACATGAAGATTAAGTGACACTGGGTGAGGCAGATGGTGAAGGAGGGGATCGTTGAGCTTCACCATGTGAAGGCTAGCAAGCAGGCGGCAGATTTTCTCACCAAGAGACTTCCCAAGAGCGCACATTGGAAGTGTGCTAAGATGTGTGGCATGGCATTGCACTAGTGTGGGCAGCAGTGTCATGAGTGCATATGTGATTGTGTGCATGAGAGTTTGCATATGTGTGAGTGTGTGTGCATGCAGTCCGTTAGTCTGAGGGGGAGTTTGTTGGGTGCACGTCATTCTGAGTGCATGTCATCCTAACGTCCTGCCGAGTGCTCGTGCCATTCATGCGTGCATGGTTTGCATGGGCATATGTCATTGTGCATGGCTGTTGGATGTTTTCATCTCTATGTTTTTCTCCAAGTTTAAATGCTTGATCATGCAGGAGAAATCCAGAGCTTGCCAACGATACCAAGATCGCCTTATTCTGACCAAGATTGCCCAAGTTACAAGATTTCCAAGACTTGGATTTCTTATTACCTTTTGGAGTTATATCTAATTTGGGTGATAACTTGGGACATGACTATAAAGGGATCTTTGGTTGGGTGGTTAGGGAAGGCAACTTTGACCTTTGGATTGGGGTGGCTAGAAGTTACTAGCATGGGTTGCAAATGTTGCAACACCTAGACAAAATCCAACTAGATTGGATTTTGTATGTGACACCTTAAGGACCTCATGATGAGGGTTGCATCTTTGCTATTAGGAAGGTTCCTACCATCCTTCCCTAGCTCTTGGAGAACCCCTTCCCTCTCATGGTTATCTTGAAGTCCCCAACTCCAACTTTCTATTCCCTAATGCTTGTACTTCCTCCACCATTCTAGTCATACGGCTGCTGGACTTTTTTACTTGGTTCTCACTCTATAGACCATTTAACAACTGATTCAACTTGGAGATGGTAGCTAATCCTAAGGCGCACAATCCTATTGAGCCGATTTGCGTTTAGTTGAGAAATGAGTTCGTCGTAACCTCTCAAAGTGACGGATCCTGAACAACAATTGGCAGTTAGCCTCGTGACGACCTTCTCAGACAAAGCGGTGGCGGGCACTCTCAGCCTGCACGTTCTAAGCAGCAACGATTATGCAGTGCTCGCCCTGCTCTTTCATAGTCTTTCCTTCTTCCAACAGCTCGTTTTCCCGCACTCAACAATTATGCAGTCAAGTAGCTGCCTTGACTCTGTCCGCCATAGGTGTTACGCTTCATTTTCGCTGCTTGAGTCTGTCTTGAACTCTATTTTGATACCATCTCATCCCCTCCCTTCCTCTGCCCTTATCTACAGTGCCACAAAATACAACCTTCGCTACACTCTCGTGCTCTCTGGGCCAACCACCGCACCCAAACGAATCGCCTTATATGAGAGACAAAAGCAGCAGCCCATAATCACGATCGCCGCGTGCGCTCCGTGTGGTGCGCCCGCCTCTCCTCCCCTCCCCGCTGCTCCCCTTGCCGCCCTCATTGCTGCTGCTTCTGCTGGCACTGCGGGTGGTGCCACTGCCGGTGGCAACACTGCGAGTGGTACCTCTGCGAGCGGTACTAGTGGCATTGGTTTCTCTGCTGCGGTGGTGGGCGCTGGGAGCAGCAGCATTGGCGCGCTGACTCGAGCCGAGGCGTTTTACGCTGGTGAGCTGGTGTGGGGGTGGCGGTATTGTGTGGTGAGGGGTGGAGAATGGTGGTAACTGGTGGTGAGATGGAGAGAGTGTGGAGGTAGGGTGTGGTGAGTTTGAGTAGGGAGGGAATAAGGATATATATCAAGTGATGCACTTAAGAAAGATCATGCCCTTTAACGCCGCACTCGCCCTGCACCACACTACAGCTCTCTGCACCCCTCAACAGTCCTGCATGCCTCCCCTCAATCGCTGCAGACATTCCCTTGCTCCGCCCCACCGCGGCAGCATCTCTGGGGAAGCTTGAGCTAAGCTCGCTAAACTCTCATCTTCCCATCCTCTTGCCTGTTCCTCCCCCCTCACTCTCCCACCCTACGCCCCTTAACACACCGCCCCTCCACACACCGCCCCTCAACACACCGCCCCTCAACACACCACCCCTCAACACACCGCCCCTCAACACACCGCCCCTCAATACACCGCCCCTCGACACACCACCCCTCAGCACGCCACCCTGTGGTCATCTGCCCTCTCCTATCCCCTCCACAACCCCCCCGCCTCTGAGTCTGCCCCCTCTGTCTCCTCCAAGACGGGTTTTACATTCAAAGGTAAAGGCACACTAGAGCCCACTTGTGAGCAAAAGGCACATTTTTGCTCTCCCATGCGCCCTGCAGTCCCATCGGCGCTCTCGCCTGTCCTCTACCCCACTGCGGTCGCCCAGCTGGGCGGAGCAGCCAAGGGAAGCGCCACCGTCTCTGTCTCCTCCACGTGAGTGATTGTTGTCCCCTCCACGTGGGTGCCGGTCTGTCTCCTCCACGTGGGTGCCTCTCTGTCTCCATGTGAGTGCCTCTCTGTCTCCACGTGAGTGCCTCTGTCTCCACGTGAGTGCCTCTGTCTCCACGTTAGTGCCTCTCTGTCTCCACGTGACTGCCTCTCTTTCTCCACGTGAGTGCCTCTCTGTCTCCACGTGAGTGCCTCTCTGTCTCCACGTGAGTGCCTCTCTGTCTCCATGTGAGTGCCTCTCTGTCTCCACGTGACTGTCTCTCTGTCTCCACGTGAGTGCCTCTCTGTCTCCACGTGAGTGCCTCTCTGTCTCCACATGAGTGCCTCTCTGTCTCCACGTGTGTGCCTCTCTGTCTCCACGTGAGTGCCTGTCTGTCCCTTCAACCCTCGGCAGCCTTCCCACGCACCCCCCTCGCAGCAACACCTGCTCCAACAGCAGCCCCCTTGCCATCTCTCCACAACCCCCTTCAAATCGCTCTCCACCATTCCTTCCCATCCTTTGTTATAGTTACCTCCTTTCAACCCTTCAGCACCAGTACCCTGACAGACATTAACCACCCCACCCACCATTACGTTGCTCGTCAACTGCTCACAACCTATCTGTGTTCCACCCCCCTGTTTCCTCCACGTAGAAACACCCTTGCCAAGATCAACTACCTCATCATTGTAGTCAGCCCCACTCAACCCCTCCGATTGGTCAAGGTCTCCCTCTCACCCCCCTCCTCCTCCTCTCCGACCATACCCTCCACCACCTCCTCCTCCTCCTCTTCCTCCTTCACTTCCTCCTCCTCTTCTTCTTCCTCGGGCTCCTCCACCTCCCCTCTCTCCCTCACTTGCACGTGGGTCGCCCCCCTCCCCTCGGTGTGGGTCTGCCGAGGAACAGCCATGGCGGCTCAGGTCTCCCCAGCAGCCAAGGCGGTGGCAGCGCTGCCAGTACTGCAGGCAGGGGTGAGGAGTGCATGTGTGGTTGGAGTGAGCGTGGGAGGGGGGGTCGCTGCGACCCAAGTGGCACAGGGGGCGTTGGTGCGAGTGGCAAGGCAACTGCGGTGAGGCAATGGTGGGCCGTGCGTTGTGGCCTGGCTCTGGCCTTTTCGCAGTTGCTAGGACTGCTGCCAACTAGCATTTCTTAAGGCCCTGCAGGATCTTGTTGGGACCTGGAGCATGCATTCAAGCATATGGAGGCTCAAGCTGGATGTTTCTAACTCTGCAATAGTGCAGACACGGTGTGTGCATTGTGCATGGACTGACTTTGCGAGAAATAAATGCTGATATGCAGGCCTCGTAAGCTGATGTGGTTATAATGGCGTTATCTCAAGTATTTCATCTCATTGAGAGAATCACAACATGCGTCTGGGTGGGGTTGCGGGTGGGAACAAGCAGGCAGTGAGGTCATCGTTTTTGGTTGACCATCTTCAAAAACTGGTGCGTTGAATCTCAATATTCAAGATGGAGAGCGACAGGAGAGGGAGGAGAGGGACAGGAGAGAGACATGAGAGGGAGGAGAGGGACAGGAGAGGGAGGAGACAGGCAGGAGAGGGAGGAGAGGTGGTTATAGGTAGGCACGGGAGGAGAGAGAAATTCATTGGGGAGAGATGAGGGTCAGGGAGGGGAAAAGGTAGGCAGAGAGGAGAGTGCAGGAGGAAACGATGAGAGAGGAAAAGAATGGATGAGAGCGGGGAGGTAGGGAACGAAAGCCGGGAGGAAGGGATTAAGAGCGGGGAGGAAGGGAACGAGAGCGGACAACACAGGAGAGAAAGGACGATAGGAGGGAGAGAGGAGAGGAAACAGGGGATGAAGTTAAGTGGACAGGGGCGGAATGAAGCGTGCGAGGTGGGCGGAATGGGTGACATGGGCGAAATGGGGGGCGCGGCGTAGCGGGTAGGGGGGCGCGACGCAGGCGGAATGGGGGGGATGAATTCACCGCGCTCATGGCCGTTTCGCGGCGAGGAGGCAACACGGCCAGGGCGCCGACTGTTGAAGGTGGTTAGCTAACCACTACCTAGAGCGACCTACATCAACCTAAGAAGGACCTTCCATGACGAGATGTGACTAAGGGAAAGCGAGGACCTAAGAAGAAGATAAGCTACTTATGTTGGGGCGGTAGATGAAGAAACATGGCAGCGGCGGGACCTGGAGTGGGAATCGAAGAGAAGAAGGGGAAGAGTGCAGAAGTGGAGAAGAACACGGTGGAAGTATCAAGATTTCAAGCGACGTGAAGGGAAGTCATGTCGGATCAAAGGCGCGTCCAAGGAAGTCTGAAATTTGAACTTGAGGCGCGTTCGGTGCATGGTTGGATGTGAAAATTGAGCCGAGATCAAGTCAGCTCGAAATTAGGCGCGGCGCGAGGGCGAAATCAGAAATCCTTTTGCTTATAACTTGCTTTGTGTTTTCTGTTTTTGTATGCCTTCTTCAATGAAATTACTTGAACTTTCTGCCTTGACGTTTTCCAACACATTTCTTCACACAGTTGAGGCCAGAGCTTCCTAAGATTGCTACTAAGACTCTGAATAGTCTTTATAGTCTAAACTAAAGGCTGCGCAAGTACAAGACCGAGCGGCCAGGGCGCGACGCGGCGCGGAGGGTGTCTTGGCGAGGAGGCAAAGGGCTGAAGAGGCTGCGTTTATATGCTGCGAGGATGGAGACTGGCCGAGCAGCGGATTTCGCGGCGAGGCTGCCGATCGCCTGCGGCGAGCATACTAGTGGCGGGCGGCGGCAATGCTCTAGGTAGTACTGTAGATGACACAAACTGTTGGTGCAACCCTACGGTTTGCACTCGGCTTGTTGTCCGTGTGCGTGAATGTGTGTGTGTATGGAATGGTATGAGGGCATGGGATAATATATATTTCATGCTTATAATTGTGTGTGAATGTTGAAACATGATGTCGAGTGTGTGTGTCGAGTCAATAGCGAGTTATCGCTAGATGCGTGTTACGCGGTCGTTTGTGTCTCGCGCGCGGTTTCTATTTTGTCGTGCGCGGTTTCTATTTTGTCCGGTGTCGAACGTTCGGCGTGTCGCAGGTGTGTGCAGCAGACCCATCAAGAACTCAAGGATGAGTTTGTGATGAAGAGCCCGAGCCTTGGTGTCAAGCCTCAAGTGATTTCGAAGCTTGCCAAAAGGGTACACCTCAAGATATTGAAGATAGTTACATTACTTTGTGTAGTGTAACATTTCACTTGGTGTAGGCCCTAGTGAAGGGTAGTTTCGAGACCCTTCGTGGTTGGGGACAGTGTGGCACTGTTCCACATCACTGTACCTCGGCTCTTGGGGTTTGTAGGAGCTGGGAGTCATTCCCAACTCGTAACTCTTCCTATCTTGTGTTCTAAGACTATAGTGGCTGCCATAGTACCGTTCGTTCAAACCGACGCTGTGTCATCAATTCTTTATCAAATCGTGCAATCTAAATTGCTAATTGTAGACGACGTGAAGTCGCTCCAGATCCAATTTGAATCAAGTCATTTGCAGCTGTGAGCAGAACGCTATCAACGTTTGAAGCCGCTGTGCAGAAATCCGTCTGTGCTCTCTATCTTTCGTTTTAGGCACATTCAAGCCTATTGTGACTATAACAAGTGGTATCAGAGGCCCTTGGAGCAGTTTCGACAATGTCTGGACCTGAGGAAAGGGGTGGCTGAGGTGCTGGTGGCAGTGGAGAAGCTCAAGCTCAAGGCCAACCCCGTGATTCAGCCATGGCGCCCATGCAACCAAGTCTTGGCCCACCTAGGGATGAGCCTAGGGTGTTTGGGCTTGACAAGTTCAACGGTGACAACTTTGCTGAATGGTCCTTCAAGATGGAGAACATCTTTGACCACTATGACCTGCTGGAGGTGATGGAAGGAACGGAGAAGCGCCCCGAGAACGACCCGGAGAAGAGCCCGTGGGTGCGGAAGAGCGCACAAGGCTATCTCTTACTTGGGCAAGCGTTGGGGAGCAGTCAGATCCGTCACATCAAGCCATTCCAGCGTGAACCAGAGAAAGGACCAAAGGCATGGGCTGCTCTCAAGGGTGTACATGCTCCTGCAACAGCGGCGGTAGCGGTGGTGTTGGAACGGCAAATGGCGGCACTACGAATTGAAGAAAACGAAGCGGTTGAAGAAGGGGTGCAGAAATTCTTCGACTTGTTGACGCGGCTTGAGGGAGCTGATTTGAACTACAGTGAGCTCCAAAAGAAGACCAAGTTGCTGGCCTTACTCCCAGAGTCATGGTCCTCGCTCATCATCAACCTTAATCGCGACTTGCCCCGCCTCTCGCTTGAAGACGTGAAGCGAGCTATCCTTCAAGAGGATTTCCGCCGCCGTGAGTTGGCGAGTGCGGATGGCGCTGGGGCAGCGAGCATCGGCCGTGGATATGGTCGAGGAAGAGGCAGAGGACGAGGGGGAGGAAGGTTTGGTGGCAGCAACTTCGGCGGAGGCCGCAGGAGTGGCGGTTACGGCAGCGACGACAAGAGCTACGGACGCGGTCGCGGCCGATTCGACGGCGAGTGTCACTATTGCCACAAGAGCGGACACATGTGGCGCGACTGCTACAAACTCCCTGATGGTTGGACCCCTGCTCAAGGCCAAGAGGGTAGAGGAGCAGGAGGAGGGAGAGGACGAGGCCGTGGAGGCCGTGGCGGTCGCGGTGGCGGAGCTGCAAACATGAAGAGCGGAGACAACGACAAGGACCCGAGCGACGATCGATACCCGGGTCTATTCTACTTCGTGTCGACGCAAGTACCGGCTGGTCCAGAGAAGGATGAAGGCTTTGAGGAGCCAGCAGATGTGGGGAAGGTGACCCTACACCCCCTGGACTATTGGGTGATTGATAGTGGCGCTACCTATAGCATGACACCTCGCCCGGACTTGCTCACCGAACTCGAGCCGTCACCGGTGAAGCATGTCACATCGGCTTTGGGGCAGCGAGCAGAGGTGAAAGGCATGGGCAAGGCCATGTTCAAGGGTGCTGATGGGAAGATGGTGGGCCTCAAGAACGTGCTTTGGGTGCCCAGCCTTGCTGCAAACCTGATTTCCGTGCGGCGGTTGGCAAAGGCCGGCATGGACACGAACTCGAAGGGAGCCAAGACCTACACCGCAAGGCTTGGCGATCGGATTCTTTGGGACCTTCATGAGGACAGAGATGTCTACAACGAGATGTGGCAGATCCCTGTGGTCCCAATGCCTAAGGAGAGGCAAGTGGCAGCAAGCGTCAGCAACAAAGGTGGAGCGGTTGGTAGCGGCGATTGCGCGGACGGTCGCGCTAAGGAGAAGGAGTCCAAGAAGTGCAAACTTGGAGGGACCAGCAAGCTTGGTGAACCTATGGAGAGAGGTGCAGCAGCCAAGGAGCAGCAAAAGGGTGAGAAGAACCCCGAGGCAGCAGCGGAGGAGGACTACGGAGAGAGTATGTGGGGCGCTATTGCGAGCGCGGCATTCTCCAATCCAACTTCGGCTACGGGGGAGTGTGATTGGCTCACCTTGCATCGGCGCATGGGGCATGTGGCCCTGCCCATCTTGCAGCAGCTAGTAAAGAATGAGATGGTTGCTGGCATACGTGTGAAGGGGGAGCCCGATGAGGTACTTGGCTGCCCGACGTGCATGCAAGCCAAGTTCACCCGTTTCCCATTCCCTAGTTCGGAGGCAACGGCTAAGGCACCACTTGATGAGGTGGTGATGGACGTGGTGGGCCCCCTGAAGCTTGGAGCTGCTGGAGCTGAGTACTTCCTCACTATTGTGGACGTCTACACCCGTATGACTTGGGTGTACGTGCTGGCCAAGAAGAGCGACGTGGCTGAAACGTTGAAGGCGGATTGGTTCCCGATGGTGGAGCGGCAACAAGACCGTCTAGTCAAGTCAATCCGCACCGATCGAGGGGAAGAGTTCCTGAGCAAGGAGTTTGGGTTGTGGCTGAAGAAGAATGGTATTCGGCACTCCCTCACCATGCCATACTCCCCTGCAATGAACGGCATCGCCGAGCGAGCAAACCGCACAATCACGGAGGCGGCACGCGGGTTGCTCATTGAAGCCGGGCTACCCGACTATTTCTGGCCTGATGCGGTGCGGAGCGCGTGTGTGGCCAAGAA